GACACAGAGATTTGAAAGCAGTCATACGGTGATACTTCACAATGTATACGTACATACGTTTACATCAAAAGAGAAGATTTTAAAAAAGGGTGCACCAATAGATCTTTACAATATGCAAATTAAAAGCCTTCAACTGCGGCAAACTGTCAAGACAAATGCAGAAATAATGTCAACGCTGCCACACCCTACAGCGCAGAAGCCAAATGAAGGAATAACTGATTAAAACATGTATATGTACTATATATAATCGTAGCATGTAGCATTATTTTACTTCTACTGGTCAAGTCAACGTTACTGTAATGTCAGTTCTGCTACACATATGCACATACAGGGAACTGACGTTGCCTTTCTCTCAGACCCTCTTTTCAAGAAAAACACACAAAAAAATAAAAATATATACACACTAAAAAAATATGTAAGCTAAACATATAACACTAAAAATGTACAGTCTAGACCTATAGTAAGCTACAAAATACGCAAAAAGTCTAAACATAATAATAAAATAATAATAATCAAAATGTATTTTAAATACATTGATTTTTCCATATTTATTAGTGCCATTGAGGTTAGAAAAATTATATTTGAGAGGCAGGAGTAATTTAGGATTTCACAAGAAAACGCCCAGATATTAATGCCATTCAGTTATTTTCATTATCATTGCAACAGTTTTTTTTTTCTGTGTTAATTATTGATTTATTTTGCCATTGGAACTCATAGTTCACTCATAGTTTAGTTTTGTGATTAATAATCAAATAAATGAAAAATGCAAATCACAGTCCACCAGAATTTAGCGTGATGTCGTTTTTTTCCCCCTGACTTACAATTAAATCTGACAAATTATCCACGGTAATGTGATATAAATTTAATAAAGTCAAGTCATTTAGTCGTATTAAAGAATTACAGTAATCAGTGTTTAAATGAATGGATGATGAAGTAGTCAGAATTCACATCAGTGACCGATTTCTGTGATTGACTAATTGATGATTCACTGTTCCTTTCGTTTGTATATTGCTTGATCACAAAAAGAAATACACAAAGGCATAACAGATAATTGCATATATGGACTTTCCTTCTGTGCCTACATGTTTGGTGGGCTGTTTCCATGACTCATTTTTGCTCTCAGAAGTGTGATTTGAAACTCCAGCAGCAACCCTCTTTTTTTTTTTTTGTTCATAGCCTCACACCAGTGATGAAAATGGTAGCTCCTGGTTGGGAAGTGTTATTGCTACTTGTCAATATTTCCCATGATAACACTGTTTTGGATGCGTGTTGCATGAGGCGTTCGTCCACAGTCCTAATTTCAGCTTCCTGCAGCGTCGAGCGAGACTGATAGTTGTGGTATCCGGATCTCCGGATTCATTTATATTCAGGGCAAAAAAAAAAAAAATTCGCAGTATTTGAGTGACAGGTGTTTTTCCTTGTTCGAGAGGAACCTCAGATATTTTATTTCCACTGCTAAAAATGTAACCAGGGCGGTGTAGCTCATGCCTGCAGTAAGCCGTGCTTCATCCTGTGCCTCTGATCCTCAGTGTGTGTGTGTGTGTGTGTGTGTGTGTGTGTGTGTGTTCATGCATGCGTGTGTGTGTGTGTGTCTGTGGGCTGTGTGTTTAAGAGAGAGCGAAGGGAAGTGTGAGAGAGTGAGTGCCAATCTCCCCCATGATGCTTTGCCATCTGCCATGTTCATGTGTGCGCGCGCGTGTATTTATTTGCGTGTGTGTGTGTGTGAGTGTGTGTGTGCGTGGCCCTGTGGGTGTGCATGCATTTGTGAGTGTCGTTTGCCCACAGGGTCCAGGGTCATAGAGACGTGAAGTATTATCTGTCCAAGCCCCTCCTTGTATCTTACATGGGTCCTACTCCAAATGTCTCCTCTCTAAGCCAGCCCACAAAGCCATGCATAATTCAATGCGAGGTTATTTCTGTGCTGAAAAAGTAGAAGTGCACCCTACGATTTCAGAATCATTGGTAAAAATGAGAACTAAGAGGGCTAATTACAGTGGATGTGTTCTTATTAATCCCTGAAAAGTTTCCTGGTGCACAGCCGCAGACTTCCCCCACCCCCCTCCTCTCTTATTATGTTCCCATTAAATATACTTTTTTTTTTTTTTTTAAAGTAATGATAAAAAGAAGTTATTGCCGCACTACATCCTCCAAGCGTCACAACACACCTGTAATGCTCGCTCCCGGCGTCGGATCCAAATGAAAGACAAAAGGATTCAAAAGAACACGGGGTTCTTATCAGGTGTACTATCTCACAGCTAGCATGGTGCCGCAGGAAACAGATCCGGTCTTTCTATGAGTGCTCGTGGCTCGTCGTCATGGAGACAGGCCTTGTGAGACCATCTCAACCCACTTGTGGTGAAAGGCATCATGGGTATGGTGGGGGGGAGGGAGGGAGGGAGGGTGGGGACGAGGTGAGAAAAACAAAACATGTCATCTTCCCAGGGCCCCGACGGAGCAGGGGCAGGTTGGATGCCACCTAAACAATGTTATTTCATCAGCCTGATGGAGCACAATAACCGGTGTACATTTCACCACCTGAGCTATGGTGTCATTATCTGCCTCCCCGCAATAAATAGCACATGTATCCCCATCAATCTATCTGTCTGGCTGACCATCTGTGTTGTCACACTGAAAAGGTAATAAGACCAACCCCTGCTGTCCTCTCTCTGGATGCTGAGCCAGATGATCAGGGAGAGCAGGTTGTGATATCTCTGAGGGGGCTGTAGAAACTGTAGGTAGGCCTGAGTCATGAGAATATTCATGCTCCCACCTTTTAATTCTGCTTCCACAACAAGCAAAGCGCATGGCTATTACAGGTCCAGAGAGGAGGAGCGCGTTAGATACCATTAGCGTTAAATGCCATTAGCGCAAGCACCGACTTGCCCAGACTGGCCTGGTCTGCTGCCGCCGCCGCCTCTGTGTATCTGTTTTGGCTTCTTCCCTCAACATTCACAGCTGTAGGATGCTCTAAGCCCTTTTGTTTGAACTGTGTCAATGGACCAGCAACAGCTGGAGCAGCCGGTGCAGGGCAGCTGGGGAGAGGAAGAGGATTTGTATACAAGTAGGGGTTAGAGTGTGTATAAAAAGAGAGGGAGATGAATGATGGGGTGTCACGGAGGAGATGGCATCGAGAGAGGAGAGGTTAACAAGGAAGGCGAACAGGAAAGTGGAGAGGAGAGGGGAGGAAGGGGATGAAAGGAGAGGAGATTTCAGGAATACAGAGACTAATGCAGGAGTGAGACGAGGGTAAGATTAAGGATTAGTTAGAGGCTGTGCGGCTGTAGTGGAGGTAGAGCAGAGAGAGTTTTGTCAGCAGGTAAAAGACAACTGGGAGGGGTGGATAAACTGAGAATGATATATCAGGTTAGACGGAGGTCACTGAAAGATATTAAGGCCCCGGTAAATCCAGTACACGGGACAGAGGAAGCAGACACTGCAACATACGAAGAACAATGTTTGAGTGGCCGCGTGGCTCCACGCAGAACAGTAGCCCTGGTTAGATTAACGGCAGCAAATTGAGTTTCCGTAAGAGGAGAATTTACTTAACATGCTGCCAATGGTGCTTGAATGAGCTCTGATCTGATTTTTCTTATCACATTGTTCAATTGAAAAGGGGACGCTGAAAGCTTTTCTATTCAGCGGCTATTACGCAGCGTTAGATAAGGCGAGGGCAGAGCGGCGAGAAAAAGAGCCTGTATCAGATAGACAGCCATGTTTTCAGTTGAGCTATTTTTAGTGGAGGAACTGGCAGACAGTAATATGTTTGAGCAGGTCATTAGCTCAATAAGTGGTTGGAGGAGTCTTTGAATATGTAACTCACCAGAAATGCCTCTTTCATTTAGTAAAGGCGAGTAAGGGTCGGCCCAATCTCTGCTCCTCCGTTGCTTGCCAGTGTATCGCGGATGTCAGGGTGAAAGTGTGCTGATGGGCTGTTTGCGCATATTTATGTGCCGATCACAGCGTGGCCTGTCACCTGTGAATAGATACGATGTCTCCCTGAGGCATATACGTTATCCTGTACCGCTACCTGACATGAGGCATGTATGTGTGCGTGATATATGACAGGTTAACAAAGGCTCCTTTCTCATTTGGCCTCTCCACCTGTGTTCTGACACATCGAGCAGAGGGGCGGGGGTCGGAAGAGCTCGATAGGACTGAGGAGTTATTGACTCCCAGACGGGGAGCTTCAGCACAGCTTGTCTAAATCTCTGTAAGCAGACAGAGCTGAATTATGTTCCGACTTCCAGATGTGTGCGACTCTGTGTGCATGTGTTTATGCGAGGAAAAAAAGAGAGCAAAATACTGATGGAGATCCCCCCAAGGCGAAGGATTAGCAAGAGGGGGGGACGTCTATTAAAGTAGCAGTCTCTGATACATTTGCTGTTATTGAATTTTTCCTGCATTTCTACTGACCCCTCAATCCTCTTTGTTTAAGTGTTTTCCATTACTGTGGCACACTCTGGATGTATTATTGCATTAACACTTTTATGTGCCACCAGAACACTAAAATACCCAATGCTGAGGAATTAGGCCAGAGCTGAAAGGAAATTATTAGGACGTCTGAGGGGAAAAAAGGAACTCTTAAAATGTATCATTTCAGCTCATTTCATGGCTCAGTAGAAAAGGAGACTTATTAATACAGAGGCAGTACACTGAAAACTATTTTGGTCTGTTTCTTGTCATAGTTATTGAGCAGTGGCTCTATTGTTCTGGTATTAGTTCAGTCAGAGCTGGCCTGCTTGAGCTGTTAATCCCAAGTCAGAAGTGCTCTGGCTAAATCAAAAGACCTAATCCTGCATTAGCATGAATTTCTCTGTAATTTTCTTCATGAGGATGTTTCCTCTGCATCACTATGAAATATTGTATGTTTTGCTTCTTCCCTCACAGTGCATTGACATTTCGAATGTCGCTCTAAAAGCAGAATGATGAATCAGAGGTGGAGGAAATATGTCTGACCTTCTTCTCTCTTTTTTTTTTTTTTCTTTTCTGATTGTCTGCAGAGTGCCTACCCCTGTTGAGCGAAGCCCTGCCCCCCTCGTATCTCCGTCATCTCCGACCAAAACCGCGGTGGTGCCATGACTCTGCCCAAGACAGGTGGAGTTCTGGCCCAGTCCAGGAGGCCTATCCTGGGGCTCTGCCTTAGCCCATCTTCCCTGTGTCTGCTGCTGCCTTTGATTGTCCTGCTAACCAGACCTTTAAGCAGCGTGTGTGGAGCACTAGGTATGACGTCTGTCTGTCTGTCTGTCTGTCTTATTATGAAAAGCTCTTTATCTGTATATCTGTCTAGCCAGCCACACCTTTCTTCCTCCTTTGTCTCTGTCTCAGTTGAATGACAGCTGGTATATTGTCAGCAATAAATGTGATGCACAAAGGTGTGGATATATATGTGAATGTGTCTGTATCTACACACATCTTTGACTGTGTGTGTGTGTGTGTGTGTGTGTGTAGGTGTAAGTGTAGGTGTGTGTGTGTGTGTGTGTGTCAGAAGAGTGATTCGAGGCCTGTCACTACATCAGCTCTGGACTGTGGTGTTGTTAATGTGTTTTGATAAGCCAGGAGGTCCCATCAGCATGTTCCTCATCACCTCCTTGATTACAGCATTTCCATGGATTTCCTGCCTCAGTGGTCCACACACACACACTCACATTCACACACACACACACACATGCTCACACAGACTCAGCTGTTTTGAAAATGTCACCAAGATGATTTTTTTGGGAAAAGAGATAAGATGAGCCAAAGATGGAGATATCACCTCTCCCCATTAAAAATGAGAATTATCTAATGCATTTTTCATTTTCCATTTGTGTAACCAATTTGAGGCCATGATCCTCTGAGAAGACTGATGTCATAGCTAAAATATTTTTAAATTCACTGGAGAGGGAGAATTACACAACAGCCAGATTTCAGTTGAAATGTTGTGGGACTGAAGATCTCTGCCTTTGGACCACCCACAGTGTATTTCAACAGAACAGATAGTGTTATAGAAAAATGAAAGCTTCCTTTCTCTGTTTCTACGAATCTCTCTAACTTTCTAAATAAAGGAAGAGACAAAAAACATTGAAAAACATAAATTCAGACTGAGCTCTTCTTCTTTTTTCTTCCAGTAACAGCGCAAAGTCACACAAAGACAGAATTCCTAATCACTCGGTCAACAATTTCTGCTTAAATTTAAAAGTAAAAAAGTAAAAGTTGACATTTTGTTCGAGGCGCTCAGCATCTCTGTGGTTTAACTTAAATTTAATAAAAGGGGGGAAAAAACTAAATTAGTTTCAGACAGGATGCTTTTCTATTTGTGATTTTATGGAAAACACAAACGTTTCCCTCACAAAAGAGATAAATGTTAAACTTTCAAAACAATGCCAAATATTGTAAATGACATTAAGAATAATTGCTTTTTCATTTTGATGTTTATCTGTCCTGATTTTACATTCCTATTTGCAAATGGTCTTACAACAAGTTATCATTACAGTACAAGGCGCAACAACTACAGCTTGAAATTGAAGCCAATTTAAAACTTACATTCTGTCTATTTCCATCAGGGGACAACTCCTCTAGTTGCAAAAAAATAAAAAAAATCTGCTTGCATACGAGTCTATGAGGAAATGAATCTACTTCTCACTTTATGTGTTACCTCATTAAACATTTTTGCTATGAAGTTTATGCTTTCAATCACCAGTTTAAGTCTTTTTTTCAATACAGGAGGATGTTCATTTTGCAATTATGGTCCCATTTACAGTAAAATAGACAATAAAGCAGGCTACGCTTTAGGGTGTGGCTGCCTTTTGATTGGCATGTACTACTGCGTGGGCGTTCGTAGTATTCTCAAGTTCTCAGTCAGATTCACCCTCTCATGCAAATATAGTCACTTCTGGCTCCGTAAATGAAAAGACTGCCAAAATGCCAAACTCAAGGCTTCAAATCCAAGTCCACAATCCAATGACTGCCATCGCCGTGGCCATGTCCTTTCTCCAACTGCGCATCACACTCTAACTACTCTCATCATCTTTGGATCACAGAATTTTTATTTATTTATTTATTATTTATTAATTTTTTTTGCATGCATTCGGCTATGAGACGCAACCAGATTTGACAGCAAAGACGCACAAACAGGGGACACACAAACAGGAAGAGATGCATTATTAAAAGTGGCTTAAAGGCCTGTCAGATCACAGCTGGTTGCACTTAATATCTTAAGTAATGTCTTTTAAGGCGGTTCATAATTCAACATTTCACCAGAAATTGCATTAATTTCACCCAAAGAACTTCTCCAAAAACTAAACTTGTAATTCCTGGAACTCATATTCCGAATATAGTCTGACCTGAAGCAAACCCAGTTACTTTTCTGTCACATGGCAGGATGAGTACACCATGACTCTGTACCTGCCGGTCCCACTTATAACCGGACACACCAGTCGTCAGTCAGTCAAAGCTTTGCAGGTTACAAAGGTGTTCCATTAAAAGCCGACCAATGGCAGGTCAGCGGTAGACGTGCCTAGTCCACGGCAACACAGTGAACTCCACTATTAAGGACAAAGAGTCCCTCATTAGTCCATTTTTCTGGCAGCTTTTCTAGAACCTTCCGATCATAACACTTTCCTGCTCAGTGCAAATCCATCCAGAGCTAGTGCCTTGCAGGGCTTTTCTCTGGCTTTCAGAAGAGGCTTAAGTGGTAACATTGCCAGTGGGGTCGGTTTTGCACGAGGATTGGTGTTGAAGTGCATTTAAGAGAACATAGAAAACATTTGGACTCAACATAAGGCCACCGAAAACCATGTTCAAGCCGTAAGAAGAACATGAAATTCATTCATAATCCGATAGCCCGGAGAAAGCAGTTTCAGCCATGACATTTTTTTGGACTTCCAATAGTTCAAATTCACATATTGTTGGCAGAGAAAAAAAGGGCAGTTTGCTCAATACTCTGTATGCACTTCTAAGAGGCAAACAGGCGGGAAAGTATCCTGCTCTTGAGTCATAAAATGGTGGGTATGAATTTGTTCTGATTGGCTATACTGTACCAGCGTTTTGCTGTTGAGGATTATAGGAAGCATAAAATGAAACCACTTTAGTTCTCATATTAGGAGTGGGTTTTTTAGAGACATCATGGTGCAGTGGGCACAGGAGCAGTCTTTTGGTATTATTCCACTTATTGTCAAAGCATTGTAGTGAAACTGGAAAGCGGTCTGTTTGAGCCAGTGAAGTGAGCACGAGTGGGAAGACGTGCAAACAGGCTGCAGATAGGAAGGTTCTTTTCGTTCCTGTTCTGTCTTCAGAGCAGAAGTGAATCAACACAGCAAGACCTCACCCACCCAGACGTAGGGGAGGAGGGATCCAGGTTGCTATGGTAAGGGTCATCCTGACTTCACCCTGATGGATAGCAGTGATTCTGTAGCTGAGGAGGAGTTAAGCTGGGCACCATGGCAACAGGCCACAGACAGATAGCAAGGCGTGGATGCATGAGGTGGTTTGACTGATCTGACTCAGTCACTGTGAAAAGTGTAGGTTCAGTACTGTTTGCTCAATATCACACTTGGAAATTGCTATTTACTTGCAGAGGCTAACTGCAGTGCTTAGGCACCACACATCAGATGCGCTGCAGTCGCAGAAATTGTTCTCCTTGAGTTCTCCGATGAAACAAAGCAGGAAATTAGTACAAGTAATGTTGTTTATTGCATTTGCTGTGTTCTTTAGAATTTGCAATTGAAAATCTCCTGTAAGTGTTTGGCATGTACAGGCACAAATTGACACCTCTGGTATTAATACATTAAAACCAATTATATGCTGTGAATTTGCAGCCAACACTTCTCCTACCTGTGAAACACTCATGTGTCATGACAGCCCAGGCTGCATGCAACACAATGGTAGTCTGTTCTGGAGGAAGCACAGAGAGAGAGGGGGAGAGAGAGAGAGACAGAGATGCTCCTCTGAAGCCCAACCCCATCTTTTATTTATGACCCACAGGAAGTCCTTCAGCTTGTCCTCTAGATGATACTCAGGAAGTAAGCACAACACGCAGCCATCAGAACACAAGTCGGCCTGACCAGTCACTGACAGTGAAATGGGGCGTGGTCAGCAGGGGGTTGTTACTGGTTGTACAGTTGGTTTGATGTCCTTTGGGTTTAGAGGTGTCAGTTTTCATGCTTCTGTTTTGATTTCTTTTCTCTCTTTTTCTTTCCCGATCCCTCCTCCTCCCTCCTCCTCCCTCCTCTCCCAGCTCCCCCAAAGTTCACCAAGATTCCCACAGACCAGATCGGAGTGTCAGGGGGTGTGGCATCATTTGTGTGCCAGGCCACTGGCAATCCCAAGCCTGTCGTCTACTGGAATAAGAAGGGCAAGAAGGTCAACTCCCAGCGTATCGAGGTGGTTGTCACAGTGCACAATGGTTGACTCCTACTGTAGCTGCATGACAAATACAAATATGTATATCCATTAATAAAGATGTGAAATGTAGAGCAGGATCTCCATAGATTAGATGCAGCTTTACACGCACACACACACACACACACA